CATTTTTAGAAATACAAGAAATTCAATGTATAAGGAAAAGATAATTTACATGGTGTCACTTGTCAAATATCTATTCATTCTTAACATGTATATATCACTGTGAGAAACTATAAACTATTAATATTGTGAAGGATTCACTAGAGTCACATTAAGACACAAAACAAAAATTTTTATTGCGAACCCAGGAAAAAAACAAAACAGAACAACAAAAAACCCTCAGTAAAGCATAAGCACAACTACCTGGCTGTTTGTGGTAGGTGAGCTCTCTGCTTGTTAAGCAGAACCACCGTTTCTTGAAATTCTTCTTTCCAATTCGAGTTCTTCCTTGAGCTCTTTTAAACATTTCACTGCCAAAACAATGAAGGTAAATATTTAGTTACAAAGATTAAAAACAGTTCATTCAAAACAAAGAACTGTCATTTATTTTTAAAAGACATACATAATTGTATAAGACTATTAAACTTAGAAACGTGTTTTTGCCATGTATAACTCTTGTATCTATTTGGGCTAGACTAAGGAAATAAAATTTTCAATTAATATTTTAAATTGTGTTACACAGAATAAGAAAGAGCCATTAAGTGGTTTCCCTTATTCATTTCCAATAATAACCACTCTAAAACTGAACAGTGCTTTAACTTTTTCAAAGTATCCTAATACTTAATTTACTACAATTGCAAACTCTGAGATGGTAAGGACAGGGAGTTATGGCCATCAGACAGTTTGCAAGGTTGTGAGGTGACTTACTTGACTGATATGACTTAGGCAGTTTTAGCACAGAGCAACTACTCAGATTTTTTATTCTGAGATCTATGCTCTTGTACCTAATTAATGTTTATACTAAAACATGATTTTCATGTCTCATTTCATTAAATTACCCTTCTTTCAGGTGCACAGGTTCACTTGTTGCACTGGATTCTTTAGTTTCAGTAGATGAAATCTCATCCAAGAACTAAACAGGAAAATGAGCAAATATTACACTGTGCAATTAAACACATCATAAAAAACTCAATTTATCTTACATGTCACTGATTATATTGGAAGTTCTTTCTTACTAAACAGCACGTAGACCAAAGGTTGAGTACCTTTATCTAAAATAACTAGGACCGGAAATATTTTTGATTTCAGATTTTTTAAGGGGGATTTTTGAATATTTGTTTACATATAAGGAGATTATCATAGGGACAGGATCAAGTTGAAACATGAAATTTGCTTAGGTTTCATATTAGGATACACTAAGGTATAATATAGCCCAAAGACAACCTTATGCAACACTTTTAGTGCCCTGCATTTTTGACTCTAACCTATCATCTGTGGAATTTTCTACTTGTGGCATCATGTCAGCATTCAGAAAGTTTCAGATACTGGAGCATTTCGAATCAGGGATGTTAATTCTGTAGTAATTTAGGAAAAAAACCCAACTATATACAAAGTCCATAATTTACAAATGCCAAGTATTCTAAGAAATTCATTCTTAGATTACTGTACTTAAACCCCGAGTACATTTCCCATAGAAATAATTTAATCTGAAATCCTGATCTATAGAGTTATGAATATAGAAATTTGTCTTTGATTTAATGGTAATTTCATCTGAGGGCATAAGTTTAAGCTGGCATAAAGCTATTTATGGTCTATACTTACCTTCTTAGAGTGAGTATTTGTGTTTACATAAACATTAACATTTGTGATTTATGGGAAGCTTGGTAAGTGAAGAACCAAAAACAGAGTTCTTTTTGTATCGTATGTGAATGTGCAGGTGTAAGTAACCATAGAGAATTAAAAGAAACATCCCATCACATTTTTAGTCCTCACCGATGGGCTATCAATTAATAGAGTATAACAATTATTTACATATTGTGTTTTTTAGTGTTTACTTGAAATGAATGATTTATTTATCAAGTCAGGAAGGTGACTACAGGTAACCAGTCTGCTCAGAACTATACCTACCAGGCCAATACTTATTGCTCCAGAATAATATTTTATTCTAATGACTTTATTGTCAATAATACTTTTTATTGTTAAAAGTATTCTGGTATAGACACCAAATTATATGATCACCCTATATAAAGAACTCTCCAAATTACTTTCCTAAACTCTGTGGGGAATAGTACAGTGAAACCTTGGATTGGGGCTGGGGATTTAGCTCAGCGGCATAAGTGCCTGCCTTGCAAGCAGGCAGTCGTGAGTTCGATCCCTGGTACTGATAAAAAGGAAAAAGACAAAACAAAACAAATAAACAAACAAAAACAACCTTGGATTGCAAGTAACTTGTTTTTCAAGTATTCCACAAGATAAGCAAACATTTCTTATAAATTTTAACTTGATAAACGAATGATGCCTTGCAATAGTAGTAGTACATGATGCCAAATGTCATATGATCACAATTGAGCCAATGGTCCCCCCCCCTCGCCTGTCACTGCAGGACTGTGAGTGATCCTTTCCCAACAGCAATCGGAGAGATCTCAACCACAAAGGAAGATGAGAAAAAGGCAGAGGAATCCTTTACTTCAAATGAAATTAGGGATATGTGTAAAATATGGAAAATGGTGTAGCATTTTGTAGAAAAGCACCACCTGAATAAGACTGTAGCAGTGGGAGCAATGAATCTGTTAAACAACAATGCAATGTCACATTTCCACAAAATCTTCAAAAGCAGGCAAAAGCAATTGTCATTGGATACATAGTGATTTCCTTTGAAAGTTACCTTTTACAATAACCCTTTTCTCACATAGCAGCCACAAAGAATTTTTAAAATGCAAGTTAATTTTTCTTTATATTTTGTATTTTCTTTTTTACTTTTGTATTGTATTACAGTATAAAGGTCATTTTATATGTATGTTTTTGGGTTCAGGAAAGAATCATCTGAGTGTCAATTATTTCTTATAGGTAACTTCGCTTTGATATACCTCAAATATGATATACCTCATATATTGTGATATGCTTCAGATTATAATCATGTTTTTGGAACAAATTATGTACACAATGTAAGGTTTTACTGTCTATTCAGAGAATAACCTATTTTCTTTCTGACAAGTCAATTTAGATTCAGAGTTAAAATCTATTTTCTTTTTGACAAGTGTCAACAGTGAGAGTACCAATATGAAAGGAGAATCTAGGATTCACAGATGTTTGCAATTTCTAGAAATGCAGACTTAATGAGTAAACAATCCAGAAAACTGAAGTATTAGGGTAAATATCCTATGCCAGATTAGGCATATAAAACCAAATCTAAGATAGAAGCATACTATAGTGAGAGTTCATGAGCATGTGAGTGGATGATTTAGGGCAGATGAGAAACAGACCTAACTCCTGGCACTCTTAAATTTTTACTCCACTGACATTAACTCCACATTCTGATTATACGAGGGGAAAAAAAATCAGATGCTATCACAGCCTAAGTCCTAAAACATGGGAAAATAAGACACCACATCATAACCTTGCCAGCAGAAGTCTGTTTACATTATTCCATAAATGTTTCAATAATAAAAGGTAGATTTTTGTGTGTGTGTGTATTCTCTTGAACAACTCTCTCCACAAGAAGACACTGATGATTGTTTTAAAATTTTTTCTGGTTGAAAGCCAGGCATGGTGGTACATGCCTGTAATCTCAGCACTTGGGAAGCTGAGGCAGGAGAATGACCGCAAGTTTGAGACCAGCTTGAGCTACAAAGTGAGCTCAAGGCCAGCCTAAAACTGTATAGAGACACCCTGTCTCAAACACACACACACACACACACACACACACACACACGAGAAAAGAAAAAAATAATGATATACTTTTGGCCATCAACTGCTAATCATGCTATAGAAACAATGTAATATTTAAAATTTGGCCTTGGTACTTACTATTTAGAGTTAAGATTGAGATTAAAAGATACAGCACCTTCTTCACACTTCATTTAAATGTACTTCAAAATAACTTTTCTTCAGAAGTTTTCCAGATTCACAAAAATATTATATTTTGTACTGATGAGTTAATGTTCAGTGATTTTTATACAAGTCTCATGTTAGGGTATTACAAAGTGTAGGCTTCTGGGTTTAGTTTTTGAGACAGGGTCTTGCTCTGTAGTTCAGGTCAGCCTTAAACTCACTAGGTAGCCCAGCTGGCCTCAAACTTACAGCAATCCTCCTGTCTCTGCCTCTGAGTGCTACGATTATAGGCATGTACCACTGCTTCCAGCTCAATGCTCTGGTCTTTTGTACATTTTATTTTACATTGTGTTAGGTACTAAGTAGCTACTGCTAAGACTTGTCTAGAGATATTTTTATAGAGGAAAAACTTAGCTTTGTATGAGAGGAGAAAGAAAAAGAAAGAGCCCTTTTGATGCACAGCTGAGCTATTATTTTTTTAACTGAAAACTAATTCCTAGAATATGAAATATTATTTCCTCCATGCAGTATGACAAGAAATGGTAACACTTTCAGAAACAAAACAAAAAACATACCTTCTTAACTGCTATAATATATCCTTCTTCTTGAAACATTTTGAAAAATTCACACATGAATGTCTCTTTGAAACTTGACTAAGAAAAAACACATAGGATTTATATACATTAAGTAAAGCACTGAGAAAATAATGAAGAGTATTTTTAAACTGAGGATTAAAAGCTGGAAGGATTTAATTATACCAGAGAGCTACATGGTATGAAGATTTCTTTCAAAGCTGTTAGGTGATTATGTCACAGACAAACCAGATGGCTCCTGTTTCTTTTTACTAGATTCCCTTTCACTGTCAAGTGAATTAGGGTACCAGTAAAACTGTCTTCTTTAAAAGGTAACTAAGATAATTCTTTAATAGATAATCACCTAAAAGACAAATTTTGCATAGATAGATGGGGGCACTATAGTTCAACCTCAGTGGTGTTTTTTTTAAAAATTAACATTCCATCACTTTGATTTGTATTACTAGGTTGTCATAATTTTGTTTTTGCTTTGTTTTCTGACCCAGACTCTCAGTCTTAGGAATCCCAAAATCACAGGCTTGCACCACTGTGCCTAGTGGTAGTATTCCTGCTTATCTCTATGAAAATTTACACTGAATAATAAGTTCTGGGTTGCAAAAGAGGCTTTACTTTTTGTACCTGTCCAAAAGTCTTGGCCCACAATTTAGACAAAAACATACATGAGTGCTACTGTTCTTTTTTTTTTTTTAATTAGGAAAGGCATAAGTAAAGAACTAATTATAGGTTATATAATACTATTTAGAAATGTGAAAAGTACACATATCAGTTGTCTGTGATGAATGTAATCATTATATACTGTGAAAATAAAATGAAAAGTAAAAAGAAAGAAAAAAAAAGATGTAAAGACTTACTTTGCTTTTGGACAGGCTACCCCAACTTCCCAAAGTTTGAATGGTTTTTGAGATGAGAGTTAATGTCCTAATTGTCTGTGCATCCTATAAAATGTAAAAAAGGTCAAAATTCTTAAGTTTTCGAGATTCAGAAATTTATAAAAAATAGAGATGGCCCTATACAGTGACTCAAAAATGTTCATTCAAACCACCTTAAATGTAAGCAAAACCTAGGTAAGCCCAGGCACAACTCATTTGTTTAAGGAATTAAGAGACTAAAGAAGCTATGTATAACTGAAAATTCCATATGAGACAGACATACACAAAGGATGCTAGAGGAACAATTAACAGAGGCTATAGGGAAAACTGAAGCCCAAGATAGCTATACTATGGGTCAAACTGGGAGGCAGGAAGGCACGGTTCCAGGAGATATTAAGTCCAAGTCAGCAGAATTCCAACACAGGCCCACCTTGCAGTATCTACACAAATAACTTACATAACACTAAGGTCAACACTGGTGCATAGCCACTATTGTATATTTTGCTATAAATGTCATCTGCTACCAAGACTGGCTGGAGGCCCCAAGAGCAGGTGGGACTATGGCTAAGTAGCTAAGCAGATCAAATGAGCTGAACTGAAAAGCTGAAAAGATATATCAGACATTCCACAGCTCTGTGGCTGTTCTTCATGATGCCTATATGTCAAGTGAATCTTCCCGGTCTAAACTGGGGACCACACAAAGGCATGTAACCAAACTAAGGGGCTAAGATGTCAGCCTCAGCTGGGTCTTAAAAGCATGTATCAATGAAACAAAAGATGTTCCAATCATTTTTTTTCTTTCTCCCTATTATGAGACTTCCGAAGAGTCTGCCACGTCAACGTTAATAAAACCCATGAGTCTTTAAAAAAAAAAAAAAATATATATATATATACATGCATGCATATGTATATGCTTGAATTTGTAAGCTTTTAGCAACAGGGAAAGCTCACTTTTGATATATTCTTATGATACACTAAATTTACCCACCTATTCTGTGATATTCTGCAAAGTGATTTTTTCTCTTTTATTCTATCTTTTCAAAATTTAAATAACTTCTAAAGGTAAACTATAAAAGATTTTTATCAGTTCTCCTCCATAACTACTATATAACCTTCAGTACTGGCCTTGATAATATCATCATTCCCAAGTCACTAAGATCATTTCCAGCTCTCAGTTTCTATGTAAGAGTCTTACTTGGTACTAATAAAGTAGTAATTTTAAATTTACATGCAATTTTGAATTACATATCTTTTACATTTGCCCTATTTACCTAGCTAGCCCAAAAGGTTTTTAAGAAATAAGAATGTGGTTTGAGCCCTGCTGGGGAATGCAAAAAACAAAAACCAACCAACCAACCAACCAAAGAATATATTAGAATAAAATTAGAGATAAAAGGACAGAGTAAAATTATATGACAGTTTTGTAGCAGTCCTTCTGGCATATTGACTGGAAAATACTGCCCTAAATACTGCCCTAAAACCCACGGTTTGTAGAAAGAAATATTGCAATGTCTGTTACAGGAATATGGAATTCTAACTCTAATAAAAGGCACAGTCATAAGTTCAGAGGTAGGAGTTCTGTTTATGTATAAAATGTTGCTAATAAGCTTTCAATTAGCCGGTGCAGTCCACTGTACAGCTTTAGTAACAAAGTGACAGAAAGGATAGCCTAACAAACAAAAGGACACTAGCCAACTCTCCATTATATATACACAAAACATTTGTCCTTTAGCAAAAAGAGTATATTGCTGCCACTGTAACGTGGTTTTACTGAGTTCTCACAAAGTTGAATGAGTGTCCAGTGTTGAGAGTGCCTAGAGAAAACGTGGGCATTTCAAACTCCTTTAACTCAAAAACCTGCACCTCTTCCCTATGTTGTATTATTCAATGGGTCACTCCTCTGGTCTGTGAGTTTCCAAAGGAAGGGAATATATTACTCATCACTGCAATTTCAGTGGTAAAATATAGTGCTTGAGGGGCTGGGGATTTAGCTCAGCAGCATAAGTGCCTGCCTTGCAAGTAGGCAGTCGTGAGTTCGATCCCTGGTACCGATAAAAAAGGAAAAAGACAATAAATAAATAAATAAATAAATAAATAAATAAATAAAAAATATAGTGCTTGATACATCATAGACACTTCAACATCTAACTTGTCTGCTTAAAGAGTTTGGAAGGAAACTCCGAGACTGTGAAGACTGATTTAGAATCTCACTTTAATCCAGTTCAAACTGAGTAAAATCCAACCATAATTTATTAGTTATGTGAGACTGGAGAAGTTAATATATTGTTATTTCCTTATTTTTTGTGTTTTTTTTTTATTTTAAAGAGACTAAAACCAAACAAAGCACAACAGAATAATGCCAATCAAAACAAGACAATGAAAGCAATACAGGATGTCAAAACAATGTAACAGGAAATCAACAATGGTTACTATAATGCTTCTTGTTATCTTCACAACAGTTGCCCATACCACAGGACATAATAAAATCAAACAAAACAAATCAGAGTAAAACCAATCAAAACAAAACAATGAAAGCGATACAGGACTTCAAAATGTGATTTATTTGTACATGAGTGTGATGATAGAATTTATTCTTAGGGTTAGTACAAGGACTAAAGTGCTCAGAAGAACGCCTAACATAAAGTAAGCACTAAATAAATGTTGCCTGTTATTATTTGTTATACAAGTCAGCAACTAAAAGCAGTTAAGTTTATAAAATATTTAGAACATAAAAGACTAAAGAATCAGCAAAAATACACTGACTAAGGAAACATATATAACAAAAATAACAGAATTTTTAAAATATTAAGAAATAAACATGTAAATTTGTGGAGTAGTAAATGAATACCAGTACAGAACACATGCTTTAAAAAAATTTAGCTCAGTGGTACAACACCTGCCTAGCAGGTGTGAGGTTCTGAGTTCAATTCCCAGTAAAAAAAAAAAAAAAAGCAAAGGCATATCACCTTAGGCAAATGAAAAGTAAAAAAATACAGATAAGGAATAAAATATATTCTAATAAAAATTCCTACAATTTTCAGAAATGAACTTCTTCAAATTTTTGTGAGACCATACAATATTCTTAAGGTTAAACTACTGGAAAGCTGGTCTGCTGACAACCATCCCAACCACCTCTACTACTCAAAACTAAATCTAACGCAGTGAGGGGAACCTATATTATGGAAATTTACAAACATATATGACAGTCTAGGTAAAAAAATGAATCCCCTTTGTGCTCATCACCAAATTTCAGTTATTATCAACATTTCCCACTGTTGTGAAATACATCAATAGAATTTTTAGTTTTATCTAAAAGACTAAAAGGGCCAAGAAAAATGCCAAATAATCTTAAGTGTCAGTAATAAAAAAAAAACAGCCAAATGAAATTTGCTTATTCTTTAATTTTACTAAAAATAAATAAAATGGAATAAAGCTTTGAGAAGAACAAACACTTACTGGATGATGAGGTCGCAAATGAAAAGTATGAGGTGATACTACGGCTACAGCAAAGAAACGAAGGAATACAAAGCTGCTCACTGCAGAATACTGAACATGAGGGTCATCTGCAGGAAAAAAATGGTGATATGTCATGCACAAAAACACTGAATTGAAAAACAAAGATGATAAAGTAAAAAATATCAAAAAATGTAAACTAAGCGAGAGACCAATATAACTTGTCTTGTAAGCACTGAATTGATGAAATGATGATTATGACTAAATCAAAAGAAATACTATGATTAAAAAATCTGAAAGAAGTAAGAAATAAAGAAAGTGAAAGGCAAAGTTAACACTTCTTTCCTCATCTACCAGAGGAAACTTGAAATTTCAACAAAGATTAGTATCTAGCTCTACCTAGTGGTAACACTGAATCCTTAGGCTACAAGACAGTTTTCATTTTAGATTATTATTTAATTTCCTCTAAAAATCTTGATGATATCAAATGCTATGCAATAAAAACAATCAGGGAGACTTTTTGTTTTGAGACAGAGTCTCACTATGTATGCTTGAGGTCTTGAACTTTCAAAACTCCGCCTGCCTCAGCTTCCTAAGTCTTGGTATTACAGGATGTGTCACCATGCCTGGCTAGGAGACATCTTTACATTAAAAAACTAATAAAAAATCCATGTAAAAATGCAGATGATCTGAAGATTATTTATGACACTAACCACTCATCTACCAATATTTCTTTCAGACTGGATTCAACACTTGATCCAACAATCAGATGGTAGAGAAGCAGGTGGTGAAGGGGAGGCTCTCTGGGTATTGTTTTTAATATTTGCTTTCCCCTGCTGTTGCCACCCCCATATTCCCAAAGTCCTGAGAACAAGTGGGAGCATGAAAATATTTTATAGTAGTAAAACTATCAATACTGAAGTCTACTTATGGTACATATGAAGACATAACAGTAGTTAAGCCAACAAAAGTCAGCTGAGATGGTTCACATTTTTTTTTTTTGTCTTTTTCCTTTTTATCGGTACGGGGGATCAAACTCACGACTGTCTGCTTGCAAGGCAGGCGCTTATGCCGCTGAGCTAAATCCCCAGTCCTTTTTTTTTTTTTTTGGCGGTACTGGGGTTTGAACTCATGACCTCACGCTTGCCAGGCAGGTGCTTATGCCGCTAAGCTAAATCCCTAGCCCTGGTTCACATTTATTAAAAAAATTATAAGGTATGTTCTGGATGATTTATAGAAATAAGAATAGCACAGCTAAAGCAGATCTGAGGCTAAGATCACCGGGTAGTAAAGCATAGTGATTAGTAGCTGTGCTTTGGAGAAAGCAAGGCCCAGGTTGAGGTACT